AAATGGTCTTCCCCGGTCATACACAGAGACATACAGATACATGGAATAGCTCTGAAAGGACCCACAGATACTATTAACATTTATCTGGGAGGGGAACTGGGTCAGGCACCGAAGCATGACTTACTCTCCATGGTGCATTCCTTTTTTTTTTTTTTTTTTAAGATTTGTTTACTTTAGAGAGAGAGAGGATGAGTGGGAGGGGCAGAGAGGGAGAGAGAATCTTCAAGCAGACTCCGCACTGAGCAGGGAGCGTGGAGTCTGACGCAGGGCTCGATCCCACGACCCTGAGATCATGACCTGAGCCGGAACCAAGAGTCAGATGTTTAATCGGCTGCGCCACCCAGGTGCCCCTCCATGGCACATTCTTTAGAACCTTCTGATTTGTGCACCTTGTGCATATTCCTCTACCATTTTTTTTTCTTCCTCTGCACACTTTCTTTCTTGACCCTCTCAAAGGTCCTCTTCTCCTAACTAACACATAATAACACCAGTCACCAATAATGGAGTCAGGGACTCGAATAAGCATTTTACATGCATTACCTCATCGATAATTCCGGCCAATAAAATTATGTGTGAGGTCATCGTATCCCCACTTTGCAACTGAGAAAACTGAGGCTTGGAGAGACCAAGTATTTTGCCCAAAGGGACACATCTAATAAGTATAAGAAGTACTATGAGCCCAGGGACGCCTGACTTAGAAGTACCCTATATGCAGGTTCCAGCTGGGGATGATCTGTCCCAGGAGACGTTTGGCAATGTCTGGAGACATGGTCCATGGTCACAGCTGCAGGTGAGTGGGTATTACGGGCATCTATGGGTGGAGGCCAGGGGTGCCATAATCATCCTGAAGTGCACAGGACAGCCCACCACAAAGATTTATGCAGGCCCAAATATCAATAACGTCAAGGCTGAGAAACCATGCTCTACTGGAAAAAGAGAAACTATCTTCTGACCTAAACTCTCATCGTTCAGGTCATACAGTTCACCATGTTTACGTCCACAGTCCAGCCAGATACCAAATCAACCATCAGGTTCTCCTTCCTTCAGTTGATAGCACGCTACCCCAAATCACACTGGAGTTCTGGCCAGCCTGCCAGTTCCTCTTCAGCCAATCAGGGCTGATCATCCGCCCTCCAACAACATTTACTGAGCACCAGCTATGTGCCAGGAAATGAGCTACACAGTGGGGCTACCAGGAGAAATGATCCCCTGTCCCTGCCTGCAAGATGCTGGGGGCCAACAAGGAGACAAAGAAACCCAGGATTATAATGTGAGATATGAATGCACGGAGAGATCAGTGCTGGATGCTAAGAAATCAATGGAGAAGGAGCTCCAAACTCAGCAGGGGGTGGATGGCTGGGTAGGGCCCAGAGAAGGCTTTCCAGAAGCATTTGAGCTTGCGGAAATTAGACAGAGGGAATCCTTCCCTTCCCAAAGGAGCCCTCACCAGACCTTTTAGAGTATGGTCTCTGAGAATCCACAGATGGACACCTTTCAGTAGAGAGCTTGGTAGAACTCACAGCACAGTTGCTGACCCCCTCTGCGCAATCTGGATAATTCCTGCCCTGAGGGAGGCCGCAACCTGGTTTCCCTACAGGTTTGGGCCTTCTTTGACTGCAGTCCTCACTAGCCTCTCTGGCTTCGAACCACCCCGCACCTTGCAGCAGGAGGTAACTCCGCTTTATGCGGCAAACCCTGTGAAGTACGTGCTTGATCTCTCTAAACAATTCTGGGAGCTAGATACCATTACCCCTATTTGACAGACAAGGAAACGGAGGCACAGTGGTGAAGTAACTGGCCCTCAGAGAGCCACGACACAGGGAAGCAGGGATTCACACCCAACATCAGGGTCTTCGCTGCCTCTATCTGAGGAGACCTGTACAGATAATCCAAGCACGCTGTTCACTCTTAATCTCCCCATTTCGGTAGAGCCTTCCACCATCAGTCATCCTTCTCGTTTGTGCCTCCCCCGTGGTGCTCCTTGTAGTGTATCGTGATCATCCACATAGCTAAGAGCTCCTTGCTCCCGGGATCCAGTCTTACACCCCCTAGCACCATGTCTGACACGCTGGACACAGAAAACACTGAATGCATAAACAAGCCTGGACTCCCTGGGCCCAAGCAACATCAACCTACCCAAAGCCAGAGCAGCCTGCCTCTTCCACCAATGCAGTGGACTTCCCTTCAGGCTGGGCCCAAGCCTTGGAGACAGCAATTCAGTCACACGAGGGACCAAGCAGGCTCTCTCAGCCAGCTTTCCCTCCAGCATTGGAACAGTCATGATTCGCTCTTTGGCTGTACACCAGATGCTTGTGTTTGGGGACATGTTGTACAAAAATATGTATCTTTAAACATTAGAACCTTAAAAGCAATGAACATGTGCTCCCCACTCTGTCTTTCCCTTTCTGCCAGACGGAGTGTATACACAATGGCAGGAGCTGCAGCAGCCAGCTTCGACCATGAGATGGAAGCCTGGGTTTGAGCAAAGAGAGCCACATGATCACTAGAACCTGTTCCTGGATACTTCACAGAACAGAGCAGGACGCCCTACCAGCTCTGGAATGCCCACTTCCAGACGTGTAATAAGAGGGGAGGAATACACTTTGAGTTTGTTTCAGCCACTGTATTTTGGAATTGCGTTGTTGGAGCATGTTCGGTTGTACTTGATTAAAACAAGGTGTGAGCATTTGCCCAGTGATTAACCTAGTCTGGTCTTTGTTGGTAAACCAAGCATAAATGATAGCCACAATTTCCCAACCAAACTCAGATGTTGTCATTACTGTATAACTTGAAAGAAAAAGCTGTCTTGAAAGGGTGATTTGAGTCACGCTGAGCCTAGAGAAGAAGGACAAACAAATTGACCTCCTGGTTTGTTTCATCCTTGAGCATTACAGACATACCTCAGATTTCCAAGTAGCCCAGGCTACTCTTTTCTGACAGTTTGTCTGCGTAAACTCCAGCTTGGCTCTCCTCCTCCAGCTCATTACCTGAATCAAAGACACCCAAGTGGAAAATCTGATGAGAACCCGAAAGGCACCTGCTCCCTAAGAGTTGCCCTTTTATGCATCCAAGAAACACAGGCAAATCCAGAGCCCTGAGCACAGAGCCTGGCACGATGTAAGTGCTCAGTACGGGTCTGTTTGGATCATTAGTGGCTTGCTGCATGCCAGACGCCATGCTGGACAGCTGGGGCACAAAGATGAGTAAACCCGCTCCTGGTCCCTACGCTCAGGAATACCTGCTTACCAAAAGACATAATGCAATGTTGAAAAGCAAGAGCAACAAGACTGTGCCCAGGTTCCTGTGTTGCTACAGCATTAGCATTTCCCGTGGGGTGTCTCAGACGCTCTTGCTTCTCATTTCATACCCTTGCCCTCGGTGAGCACACCCCCTCCCACAACTTTAGGGACTTTTGCTGGATGACAACTGCTACCTCACCACTGGACTGTTTTACAGGCACCCACTTTCCACCTATTCAAAACTAAATGTATCTTCCCTTCTCGCATCCGTTCCCCATCCTGCTCCCTATCACACTGAGTGGCATCACCACCCGCCGGTCAAGAAGAGGAGGTCAATCCTGACACCTCTCTGCCTCTAACTTCCTCATCTAAGTAATCACCAAGTTTTGTCAATTCTCCAAAATCTCTCTCACCACCCTGTGCCTCTAACCTGACTCGAGGCCACCCTCATCTCTCACCTGGATTATTCTAGCAGCCTCTTCGTTGGTCTCCAGGCCTGCTCCCTTTAATATATCCTTCACATAGCCAGGTGATTGTTCTAATCCACAAATCTGATTCTTAAATGGCTTCCCATTAACCTAAAACTTCAAGTCCTTAACTAGGTTTACAAGGCCCCGTAGGACCAGACCACAGCCAGCTTCTTCAGTCTTATCTCTCAGCTCTGTCTCTAGGCAGAGAAATTAATTATTACACTAGCCCCTAAGCTTTCTCACAAACTCCATCTTCAACTGAGAATACTCCCCCCTTTTCTTGTCTCCACTCTCCTAAGCATCCTTTAGGTCTCCGCTTCTTGGGGGGCAGAAGCCTCCCTGGATTCGCCTAGACCGGGTGAGGTGCCTCTACTCTTTCCAGAGCAAGGACAACTTTTCTGCTTTTCTTCCATCATAGCAGTATCAGAGGTGCCTGTTTATCTCTATGGCTCCCACATGAGTCTCATGAAACAAATAATCGCAGCAACAAACACACACAGTATTTACCTTGTGCCAGGAAATGTTCTTAGCACTTTGCACCTATCACCGTATTAAATCTTTAGAACCTTAGGAGGCAGGTTTTATTATTATCTCTGCTTTAAGTTTGAGGAAACTGAGACAGAGAGCGATAACCTAACGTGCTTCAGAACACAGCGGGCAAGCAGAGAGTCGGGATTCAAACCCCGGCCGCCTGGCTCCACAGTTCACACTTCCAACCACTACACCAGGAGCAAGTCTGTCCGGTTCACCTGCTCTATCCTCACAACCTATCAGATGCCGGGCCACCGTCTGCGGAAGGAATGAATGAATGAAATAATCTTATACAGGGGCAGTGTCGACCTCCCACTCTGCAAGCACCTCCTGGTTCTGGCAGGTCCGTGCCCTCCGGCCCCGACCCGCCGACGTGAGCTGCCCTGGCACCCCGCCAGCCTACGGCCGCAGAACGACCACCCGCCGCGGCGCGTGGGGTCAAGGGACGGTGACAGCTGGGCGGCGGGGGCGGAGATGCTACCAGCTGGGGTGTCACCCAACCCGGGAGGCGACCCGCGCTCCCTCGCAGGAACTGCCAGTCCGCTCGCCCCTTCCGCGCCCGCTCGCCTGGAGGCGCCCCCCACCCCAGCTGCCCCGCACCCTCCTGCCCCGCGGGGTCCCCTCAGTCCGGGTTCCCTTCTCATTCCACTTCCCTCCCCTCCCCCACACAACCGTCTCCGACGTCCCGCCGCGCCCCATCTTTCACCGCCTCCGCCGGCTCTCGGGACTCGGCCAGCCCCGGGCGCTTGCTGACCCTCACCTGCCATGTCCCGGACCCCACCGTAGAGGGAGGTGCATCACGGCCGCGAGAAGGCCGGGGACGGCACTTCAGAGCAGACAAAGGGCGCCGCCATGTTAGAGTCGGGCGGAACCGACCTCGCTGGCTTCCCGGCCGCAACTTCCGGCGCATGCGCAACGTCCGCGCTAGCCGAGGACCGCGGACAGGCGCATGCGCCTACCTATCCAGAAGTTCTGTATTACAGTACTTCTGCACTTAGAATTGTCCTCATTGTAACCCTTCCTTGGTTTTCTATTCCAAACATAACTGTAACAGCTTCCCGGCGTTTAGCGCTTACTGTGTGCCAGGCACTGTGTTAAGCACTTTACGTGCATGATCTCATTAAGTCCTCTCGCTAACCGTCGGTAGTCTTTTTCTCCCCCCTTTTGAAGAAGGGAAATCAGAGGCTCAGGAAGAGTAAATGAATTGCCCATTGTCACGCGTCTTATAAGTGGAGGAGCACAGACGTGAACCTAGTTGTGGCTCCAAAGTTGCAGATCCCCGCTTATGTTTTTCTACCTCCTGAGCCAACCACTGCCCCATTTCCTATTTAGGGCAGATCTAGGATTAGTCGGTGTGAACGAGGGTGCTGGAAACAAACGTGTCGGCCGACTTGAACAGTCCCTCTGTGGCCTCTATCCAACTTTTCTGCACCTCTATTTCCTCACAGTTCGTGGGCTTTCTCTTTTCTTCACTTCTGATCCTGCTTATTTCCCATGAGGTTTTTTGTTTGTTTGTTTGTTTTTTAAGATTGTATTTATCTATTTGAGAGGGAGTGAGCACGACGGGGAATGAGGGCGAGGGAGAAGCAGGCTCCCCGCTGAGCAGGGAGTCCCATGCGGGGCTCCATCCCAGGACCCTGGGATCATGACCTGAGCCGAAGGCAGACGCTTAACGACTGAGCCCCCCAGGTGCCCCACTCCCATGGGTTTTCATAACACTCTTGCCACCAGCCTGAACTCCTTTCCTTCCTTGTCTTTTTGTCACATGGATTTGGTAAGCTTTCCAACCCTCAGTAAATCCAACTGCGCCTTTTCTCTTTGCTTGCACCCAAACAGCCATGCACAGTTGGACAAAATACCCAAAGGGACAGATTGTTCCCTACAAATTCATGATCACTGGCCTGAAGAGGAACGTCAAAAAATGTCCATCTGGCCAAGTCTCTACTCCTCCCTTCACAATCAGCAGGGAAACTAAAAAGCTCAGCAGCAGTTGACTTCGCCCTTTCTTTTACAGGAAAATCACAGCAAATCTGATAGGACCCCTCTTGTCCTCGCAATATGAAGGACACAGACCTACCTCTGTGTCCATCTGTGTTGGATGTAGTCAGCTGGGACTCATCATCCATTCCTTCCAGAATCTAAAAAGTTAAAATTCCATTTCCCAGACTCAGTTGCAGTTAGAATTCCAGATACAGATGGATTCTGCCAGTTGCTAAGATTGGATGGAAGGCAGAAGTGAGGCAATAGCCATTGTCCTACCGATGTTAGCTGATTGCTGCTGGCAAGCAAGGTCATGCAAATGTGAGGGTTTTCAGCAGTGCATAGTGGCTAGTCTCCAGCTTCATGAGTGTTCAGAAGCATCTGTGAGATGCTGACAGCCAAACTCAGCATTCTAGTGCCTGGGAACCAGCTTCTAGCCCCAAATCTAGATCCCTGGATTCTTGCTGGCAATATGTTGAATGCAATAATCTCGGTGATGACTTCTTGATTCCTCATCTTCCTGATTGTGGCAGAAGTAATATCCTCTGGTTGGTGAGTTCTACGGTATTCTGGAGCCATGACTAGAGAACCAGTCTAGAGACCCTTCTTTCAACCCTTCCAATAATGTTATAAACACTTAATTTTCTGTATGAAATCCCTTTCTGTTTAAAAGAAGTCTGAAGACAACGTGAGGGATCCTTGTAGGATGGAAATGTTCTGTACCTTGACTGTATCAATGTAAATATCCTGGTTGTGATATGATGGTACCTTAGCTTTGCAAGATGTGAGCAGGGCGGAAACTGGGTAAAGAAGGGTGGTGGTGGAATTGCTCCGTATTGTTTCTTACAATTGCATATGAACCGGGGCGCATGGGTGGTTCAGTAGGTTGACCATTTGACTCTTGATGACTCTTGATTTCGGCTCAGGTTTAACATAACATTAAACTTGGCTGAATTTATAAATATAAGTGAACCCCAAGAGACTTTGGGGTTTTAATGTCCCAGTTCCAACATCTGAGTTCAGCCCAGAAGCTGCTTGAGATTCTCTCCCTCTCTCATGGCCTCCCACCCCTGCGCTCACTGATTCGCGCTCTCTCTTTCTCTAAAAAAAAATAAAATAAATAAACAAATAAACAACACAACACAAAAAACAGGGGCACCTGGGTGGCTCATTTGGTTAAGCGTCGTCTGCCTTCAGCGCAGGTCATGATCCCAGGGTCCTGGGATGGAGCCCAGCATTGGGCTTCTTGCTCTGCAGGGAGCCTGCTTCTTCTCCCTCTGCCTGCTGCTCCCCCTGCTTGTGCTCTCTCTCTCTCTCTCTCTCTCTGCTGAATAAATAAATAAAATCTTTAAAAAAAAAAAAACCAACTGCATGTGAACCTACATTTTTTTCAAAATAAAAAGTTTAAAGAGAATGCCCAGCAAGGTTTCTATTTCTGCAGGAAACTGACCTCCAAGGGGTCAAGGCATTAGATTTGAAGGTGATGCAGATCTAGCCTACTTTGGGCAGGGAGAAAGTAGTTACAGAAGTTATCACTTATCACAATAAGCATTGTTGCCTGGGGGAAAGTGCCTAATAAAGATAGGCTTTGGTGGTTGGAGTGGCTGTCACACTGACCCTTAGAGGGGAGTGAGCACTGTGAGGACTGTCACGTAGGCTGCCTATTTATAATTGCACTGAAGACTTTCAAAAAAGAAATATTTAGGGTTTAAATTCTCAGCTCAAGACAGGACCAGAGAAGCAAGGGCCATTCCTGACTACTCTAAAAAATTTATCTCCTCTCTTGTAGCTACAGGGCTTAATGTTGCCAAAAATTGGACAGAGCTGATGATACTGTGGGTTGCTGAATTGTAATATAATTGCAATATAAGTTGTGTTCACAGGCTGGCCAGGTGCATTGGATGGGAACAAGTGGCACTTAGCAATCAAGAAGGAGGTGTTTGGGTGGATGCAGATGACTAAATTCCCTACCTCTTCAAATCCAAAATTCAGTGAAACTCTTTTGCCTTAGATGCATTAGATGCAGCCCCCTCCTCCCATTGAATGAGACTGACCCTGCTTTCCCTGGAAAGCACGTAATGGCCTTATCTGAGGAAGTTACTTTGCAAAGAGATGCTGATTCCCCTCAGAGATCATTATCCTTTATTGGTCTCCAGATCTGGCCCAGTCCAAAGTGCCCCAGGGAACAAGCACGTGATCTGACCCTAGAGGTGATTTACTGATTTACGAAAGAAAGCTAGCAAGCAGGGAGGGAAGGAAAAAAAAAAAAGGCAAGCCTTAGCTAATAAGTGAGCTGAAACCTAGAGAATATACATGTAACTTAGACTTGTTAAGTCAGGGAAGAAGGAACATAACATTAAACTTGGCTGAATTTATAAATATAAGTGAACCCCAAGAGACTTTGGGGTTTTAATGTCCCAGTTCCAACAGCTGAGAATTGTTCTTTTGGCACAGTTGGTTGATCGATAATTGAAACCCAATAGTGGTCTTCATTAGATGAAGCTGAGATGCCAGAAATTCCTTCCAACAATACAGAAGGAGGAATCTACAAATTCAGGCTAGGTGGCTGAGAGCAGGAGCTAAGTATACCCCTGCTGCTGGAATGAGTGAAGGGTGATGATTGCCTGGTTTCTCACTAGGGGGTGTTGCTGCAGTCTATTACTAACTGACTCCCTCCACCCCGGGGCTTCTCCCCTCCAATGCCCTCTCCCCTTAGCTGTCCCAGAGACACACAGGGTCCCTCACCATCTCTGGAGTCTCCAGCCAAAACCTCATCCACCCTCCACCCTAATGTCCTCCCAAAGCTTGGTTATTATTTACACGTGGGCCTTTTCCCAACGAGGAGAACTTTAGTGGTTGGCTAACTTGTGGCTATAACTTGAAGGGCTGTAGATAAACTGACAAATGTCTATTTATACAATTTAGTTTATCAATTTGATTACACACACATTGAAAATCTTGAATTATGTAACACTATAATAATTTATAAATGCAACGATGTTTTCTCTGCTTTTTTGTCATGAAACGGTTTTCTTAACTCTTCACAGGCATCCTTGACATACACTTTTTAATTCACGTCCATTTTGAAAATGGATAATGTTATAAAGTACTAGATAAAATGGGGACGCCTGGGGCCCCTGGGTGGCTCAGTCGTTAAGCGTCTGCCTTCGGCTCAGGTCATGATCCCAAGGTCCTGGGATTGAGCCCCGCATTGGGCTCCTTGCTCGGCGGGAGGCCTGCTTCTCCCTCTCCCACTCCCCCTGCTTGTGTTCCATCTCTCACTGTCTCTCTCTGTCAAATAAATAAATAAAATCTTAAAAAAAAAATGGGGACGCCTGGCTGGCTCAGTCGGTGGAGTGTGTGACTCAGTCTCGGGGTCATGAGTTTGAGCCCCACGTTGGGTGTAGAGTTGGGTTTTTGGTTTTTTTTTTTTTAAGATTATTTATTTGACAGAGAGAGACCACAAGCAGGGGGATAAGCAGGCAGAGGGAGAGGAAGAAGCAGGCAGAGGGAGAGGAAGAAGCACGCTCCCTGCTGAGCAAGAAGCCCGATGCAGGACTCGATCCCAGGACCCTGGGATCACGACCTGAGCCGAAGGCAGATGCTTGACCCACTAAGCCACCCAGGTGCCCTAGAGTTTACTTTAAAGAAAAAACGAAAGAAAGAAGGAGCGCCTGGGTGGCTCAGTCAGTTAGGTGTCCGACTCTTGATTTCAGTTCAGGTCATGATCTCAGAGTTGTGAGATCAAGCCCCATGTGGGGCTCTGTGCTGGGTGTGGAGCCTGCTTAAGATTCTCTCCCTCTCCCACTGTCCCTCCCCACCCCACTCCCTCTCTGTCTAAAATAAATAAATAAATACATAAATAAATAAATATTTCTTAAGAAGAAAAACAATAAAGTACTATAG